CGTCAATACCAATAAAGAACCTTTATTTTATTAGGACTGTATAGTAATAGTTGAAAATACAGAAACACTCTGAACTATTGGTTATTGTAGGTTCTTGTGTACTCACTTCCAAATAGACCACCCAAGGCATGACCAATGAGGCAACCAAGAGATCAGCTACGGCCAAGCTGACCACCAGGTAGTTGGTGGTGGTCTGGAGAGCTTTCTCTCGAAGCACAGCAATACACACTAGAACATTCCCAAAGACAATAGCCAGGATGAGTATGGAATAGAGCATGGCATAGTAATTCCTCTTCACTTCTTCAATTCCTGATATCAGGCTGTAGTTTCCCCCCGGGGTGAGAGAATGTTCTGAGTCATTCCACTGCCATTCACTGCTGCTAAACATTGCCATGAGTGTGAAAGATCTGGGGAGAGAGAAGAGTTTTTGACTTTGGGGGATCAAAACACAGACATCAATGGAAACCAGAAGTCTTGACAACATATATTGTAGCATCTCTAGTGTGTCTGAAATCTTGTTTATATGCTGACGTCCCTGGATTTTATATTCTGCAAAGAGACTCAGAAAACACTTGACTTGCTTGAGATATGACTACACTGTAAAAAATGACCGTGAATTTAACGGTAAAAGACTGTAAAAATGCTACAGTAAAATCCTGTTAAATGGTTAATGGTAAATTCCCCTACTATATACGGTGAAAAACTGTATTGGACATTACATGTATTGGACATTAATTTTACGGTAGTATACCATTTTTGGAAGTGAAAAAATACTGTATAATTTACAGTGAATAACCGTAAATTGACATTCCCAGAATTCCCTGCATTACATTTCAAATTTGATGTTTTTTTGTTTAAATAACTATGTTTCTTCTTAGTTTTTTCTTATCAGTTTTGTATTTTAGGGTTGTGTGTTACACCTAATGTTGTTAAATTAATGTTTATTGCATTATTTCAGTTTCACGTGTGTCACCATGATGGTGTTTAGTGTTTGTTTGAACGACACTGTGCACCTTCTATATATGTTATTATCTAAAAGCTACTTGTGATGGGCTTTGGTTCATCATTTGACTTTCTCATCACCTCCTGCATTTGGTGGTTATCAGTGTATTACAAAGGTACAAAACAGATTTCAGTACTTCAATAGGTTGGTATATTAACATTATATCAGTTAATGAAATTACGGTATTTAACTGTAAATTTAAGTTAAAACCGTAAAATGTTGCTACCGTATTTTTTACGGTAAAATTCCGGCAACCACAGCTGCCGTGTTTTTACCGTAAATTTTACGGATTTTTTTTTACAGTGTAGTGTTCGACTTTTTCTGATTCATAGTACAGCTTTTATATCTTAGAAAATTCTATTCAGCAACAAATATAAGTTATCATAAAATCTATTATGCGAAGGCTCATTTGGTGATCCATGCTTGATTTGTCTCCTCCAGTCCATTTTATGCAACCCTTTACAATGGATGATAATAGATTAATAAATAAATACATTAAGGCTAATAATGCACACATTGATTTAAGTATTAAAAAATCGCAATAATATAAGATGCATACAGCTCCAATAATCAAATTATAATTCATTCATCTCAAAGTTTAACTAAATAACATAAATCTTTAACATGGATGATGTTCTAAAATGCACTGCAGATCAAAGAGTTGACATTTTGTTTCCCCAGTGCTGATATAAAGTCACTCATTGATGCCACAAAAATATATATAATAAAAAATATATAATAAATTAAAATGATATAATAAAATAAAATGCTGGTGATATGGTGATGATCTGCACAAATGCGCCCTGAAAGCCAGTGTGAACGCATGCATTTATCGATTATTATTCTGTGCTTCATTCAAGCAGCATATTAAACCATTTACAGTGTGTCTACCTGTTATGCTTCTCCAGCGTAGAACCGAAACAGAACCACATCTGAATGCACTTTCTCTGAGATGAAAGTTATCGGTTCAGTAGCTCTTGGCGCGAGCCGTTGGTGCTGAGAAAGGGACTCCATCCTTACCGCGCGCCGGGCGAGCATAGCGTATGTGAAACTTATTAATGCACAGCTGCAAAAATACGTCCACACGATGCCTTTCTGCATTGAATAACTCCGTGCAGTACCCAAATGGTTTCGCACAGACCTCGATTCGCCCGGGTGATTAACGTTACAGCCGTGAGACGAGCTTCACTCCGTCTCCAAGAGGTCTTTTACGCACGAAGCGTCTTTGCTCTCATTAGTTCAGTGCTTAATGATAGATCAAATATTGTGTGAGGTAAATCCAAGTAGGTCATAGAATAAAATAACTTCTCAAATAGCCCAATTATAAATCATGTCATAGCTCTAAAGGTATTCGCGTCCCGCTGGCGTTTTCGAACGATATGTCTACACTGTTCCCACTCATGCTGTGATCACTAACGGCTGTCTGAAAATAGCTGTTACCTGCGACAGACCCAGCGAACCTGTTAACAGCACAAGAGCCACAAGAAGTTGACCTGATAATAGCACGTTAAAATGCATGTCTTATTGAGTGATTGGGGGTATTGGACCGGGGCTAGTTGTCACGCCTTTTACTATGGTGAATATCTCTTTCTTTATTATTGAAAGTCAGTTTCTATATAGGCACACTTGGAGTGCCTTGGCTACTAAACATTTCCATATAATAAACATATTACCTTGGAAAAATGATAGCCTACTGTTCATTGAAACACGCTGCCCCAATAGCGGGGCATGTTGTCATCCAATATGGGGTAATTTGTCGCAATAGAAGCTGGGCTGCCATTAACCCGTCTATTATAAGATCAGAGAAATATCTAATAAACATACATTTAAATGTATTAATCTCAAAAGAAAGTTATTTGTCACAATGGGACTTGCAATTAACCTGTCTGTATACAAAATGACAAATTATATATAAAATGTAAAATAAACTGTATAGAAATACAGAAATAATATAATTGGATAACAGTAAAATGTTAAAGGTTACTACCTATGTAAAATATCAAACCATTGTTTTGGGGGAATGTATAACATTTCAAACACATGATAACTTCCAATAAAATCTCCAATAAAAATGTGACAACTTGCCCCATACCTGACATTTTTGAAAAATAGACTTGTCCTGCTAACAGAGCAATGATATTTTACAACTCTTAAAATTCTTAGTTGACTAAAATAATTTTTGTTAGCACTTTACAATACAGTCCCATTGGTTATCATTAGTGCACTAACTAAAATTAACTATCAATGAGCAATTCATTTGTTACATATTTATAATCCTTTGTTAACTTTAGTCAGCTGTGAATTGTTAGTTCCTGTCTGCCCAGGTCAGTTAAATAATGTTAACAGATACAACTTTTGATTTGAATCATGTATTAGTAAATTATGAATTTAACATGAAGATTAATAAATGCTTATATTTTTTAACTAATGTTTTTCAACTTGGTGTTTGAACCAACATACAAATCCACTGCTAGAGAAAACTCATTTGTCTAATCTGATTTTTGAGATACATTGCCTTGTGACAACTTGCCCTGGTTTCTCTCATACTGGTGAGATATGAGGTCAGAAATATCAGAAACAAGAGCAAACGAGGGACTATAAAGTGAAATAGAAATTTGGAATATGGAGAAAAAATGACAGCAAATAAACACCCCGGGCATATTTAGGTCCCCTGTGATAAACAAAGAAATTAGTTTTGGGTTTTTTATTTTACAAACCAGCTCAGAGATGAGGACCCCATTATAGCTGGGGTGAAAGTGACACGGTCACATTTATCATAGTCTGTTCTCATCATTCAGAGAACAAGGCCCAGGCTCAGACGAGACAGCTAGCGTATGCCAAATCCAGTACCTGCAAAGCTACTGCTTACATCTGATGGACTATATAGGCTACGGTCTATAATTCCACAGTAACAGCGCTATATAAATTGACACTCAAATAATTCTCTCCAAGATGGATGAAGGAAGGTCTGTTGATTTGATTGCATTCCAATGAAAAATGTGCCAGCCTTGATCTGTGTTCAGTATCAGTCTGACAGCTATTTACTAAGGTGCAGCCGACCACATCCAAACAGGCAGCAGTGAAATGAGCATCCGAGCACCTGTGACCGTGTATGGCTGCTTGCTGGCCATAGAACGCTCCCTTATTTTACCTAATTGCATTACTGCCACCTAGTGGTAATAACGCAATGCAGAATAGAGGACCATCTATCTATCTGAAATAAATTAATTCTATTATGATTCATATTATAATAATTGATGAGTCATTAAAACTATATTAATAATGACTCCACTACACTAAGTCCTTCAGATTCACATCTTTGCAAGTGGCAAAGTATGAATAAATTGTCAGTTTCGCCAGTTTTAACTGTCAACATTTAATTTGACCTTCTATTTCCAGATTAATGGTCCAAATCAATATGTACTGATGAATTAAGTGCTGTCTTTTAATATGATTTTAATTAAGCACATTTGTAAATAAATTTGTCAATTTTATCTTATTTTAGATTGATGGTCCAGATCAATATTCAGCAATGAATTAATCACTGTCCAGAGCCTTTTAAAAATATTTTAATGAAACACATGTGTAAATATATATTCACATCGGTTTTTACAGTCCAGTATCTTTTTTAAGAAATAGTTTGATCCGTCTGGTTCAATCTGAAGTAGCAATTTCTAAGTATTTATCTGAAATAGGTTTGCTCCATCAATTTTCTAAAAATCAACTTAATCAAATATTATTAATATCATATTAGTAATGAATGAGTCATTAAACGATATCAATACTGACTAATACACTAGTAATTCATATTCACATCTTAATGAAATTCACATCTTAATGAAATATGTTTCATATATAATAATTGAGGAGTCACTGTAATAATAATGCAGATTCACAGCAAACAGCAAAACGAGCAACTTTCTTCAGTTTCAACTGTCAATATTTAATTTTATCTTCTATTTCCAGATTTTTGGTCCAGATTAATATGACTGTTGCAGTGATGCGAAGTTCATTTAAAATGTTGCTCAGTAAGTCCTGTTACTTCTTCTCACACTGTTCCCAATCAATGTATCCACCTGCATAATGCCGTGCCCTGAAAAACAACAACAAAGAAAACAAGTAGTGCCTCTAACAACAAGGAATATTTAATTAATTGGATCATCCACATAATATGAGTTCTGGGCTTATAATGAGATCAGTGTGTGTTTTCAGTAGCCTACTTAGAGAATCCCAGACGATGAGCGATTTCAAGAGCAGTCAGACTCCTTTTTCCACTTCGGCAATGGAAAACTATGTTATCATCTTCCTTTTCAGGGGCTTTCACCCCAAACTGCAGCTGAAACTGTTGTGGTGGGAGTTTCAGTGACTCCTCAAGCTGTCCCACTGACAGACAAATAAAAAAAACTGAGAGTGAGTGTGGATACAGAAACAAGAAACACGGATTCTTCACTTCAGTAGTGACGTACAAGGAATGTTGACAGAATCAGGAATCCGTCCAGCCTGGAATTCATCTGGATTCCTGACATCAAATAGCTGCACGCTGTGATTGGCCAGCATGGCTTTGAGCTGTTCGTATGTCACAGCTGACACTGAAATTGTGAAAATCAACCAAAGACTTATTTAAAATGATAACACCGCAAGATCAAGAGTTGATATTCTATTATTGGCAAATAAAGTTCATTAATTAATACCAGTAAAAATCATGCAACATAAAAACAGCATTTTGCAAAAAATCCTGCTAATGGTTAGTAGACACATAAAGGCTGTGTGTTTGGTTAGTGGTATAGGCTACAAATGATGGGTCAAACAATTGTTTTGCTTTAATAAGCAGAAACAAAACAATTGCTAAGTGGTTTAGTCAGGAAAATTAACCGCACTTTAAAACACGAAGCAGTCAATAAATAAATATATTCAATAAATAATTTAGTTAAAAGATTGCTATGTGTTTTTATGAATATCATGGTTAATTATCAAGTAGAGATTATTGGGAACGGGACCAAAGTCCAGAGTTCCTATATAATAAATGGCCCTTACTGACACTATAAATATGGCCCTATACCTGACAATACAGACTTCACTAAAATATGACTCTTTATCTTTTATATGTTAATAAATGGATCATTTCAATATAGCATTTTGACTTGATTTATAAACAAAATGACAAATAAATAAAATGACAATAAATGAATGAATAAATAAGTCAATGTTCTCAACAGTGGTATTTCTGTATTATAACTATGTATAAATATTAGTAATATTCTTTTACCCTACCCCTCCTCTAAATCAAACAAACAAACAAATAAAAGAAATGACAATGAATGAATGAATTTCACTTAAAAAATTGCATACTTTGATGTATGTTTTTGTGAATATCATGGTAATTTATCAAATAGAAATAATTGGGAATTGGACCAAAGTCCAAAGTTCCTGTATAACACAAGCCTTTCCCTGACGACCATGTGTTATTTCAGTTTTTCTTTTTTAATAAATCTGCAAAAATGTCAACAATTCTGTGTTTTTCTGTCAATATGGGGTGCTGTGTGTACATTAATGAGGAAAAAAAATTAACTTAAATGATTTTAGCAAATGGCTGCAATATAACAGAGTGAAAAATTTAAGGGGGTCTGAATACTTTCCGTACCCACTGTATATACTGTATATGTTAATAAATGGTTCCTTTCAGCATAGCTTTTGACTGATATTATAAGTCACTTATATTTGACTTACACTTATAAATAAAATGCAAAATAAATACAATGGCAATGAATGAATGAATGAATAAAAAGCCAGTAAATAGACATAGACAATAGACAATATACATGCATACAAACAAACAATTAATTAATTTACTTAAAAGATTACATACTTTGATTTGTGTTTTTTGTGAACATCGTGGTTATTTATCAAGTAGAGATAATTGGGAATTGGACCAAAAAGTCTCAAATTCCTGTATAATAAATCACCCTTTACCTGACATTGCAGACTTCACTGAAATACGGCCTTTAAAAGGTATATTGTCTTGCAAAAGATGATCAATTGTAACTGCAACAATTAAATCCACTTATTTTGAGAGGATGTAAGGGCTTCTTCTACCAGCAGCTCTACCTGAATCAGGTTGTCCGTTAATGTGATTGACGGTGGAAGTCTTCAGTCCACATGCTGAGATAACTCGAACGTGATAAACCGGTTTATTGAGTGTAAGCACGCACAAACGACGTAAAACCTGAAAAGATGCCATCATTAGTTGCAGTCACAATGACAGTGCATATGAAAAGTCGGTCTGTCTAGCCGTCTAGTAGGCTAGCTACCGGTAAAGAACAACTGGAGGATATATCGATATTTTCGGGAAGGATGAGACGATATGAGGGTACTTTTTACCTTGAAATGAAATAGACCTAAATCTGATGTGATGTCTACAATCCTACAGCGTTAAGGGAATTATGAGATAAAACAGCAGTGCTGCGCTTCGCATTATTTCATTCAGGTTGCCAAATCCCTATTATTGTTGATTGTTAGTTTTCCAAAAATGTGTTATATAAAAAATCGAAAGTATAAAACTTTACATGGTTAAACTCTATATTGTACTAAATCTTTTAATATATGTTAATGAATACTTCATTTAAATATAGTTTTACTTTATTTTAGACTTTCTGTATATCTTTTGTTGAAACTATTATAATTATAGGCTATAAAATATGTGTAGTGTATCTTAAAGAGAAACACTCAACACATGACACAGTGCAGCGAAGAAGACTAAACCTGGTTACCCAGTGTTGCCAGATCTTGCTGGAAAAACACCTGCTTGGAATTTTTTATAATAAAAAGTCAACCATAGTGATACACACACACACACACGTCTCTCTCAATGTATAATCTTCTCTTTCTCTTGTGCATTTATGCATCATTTGGGCATGGGACTAAAGAAGAAACAAGTTTAAATCGAGTAATAATAATTGTATAATTTAGAGTGCATAACATATGCGAAGAGCAGGTCAGCATACGTTTTGTAGGGCTACATTTATTTATTTAGTCATTTAGCAGACGTTTTTATCCAAAGCGACTTACAAATGAGGACAACAGAAGCAATCAATTGTAGTATTAAAACAACTAAAAACAGATCCAAAACTAAAAGCTAAAACTTTATAAATACTACTTATACACATTTTAAAAATAAAGAAATTAAATAAAAATGACAAATGCATACAACAAAATTTCAAAACTTAACATTTAAATGAAAAACAAAAAATAAAGCTAAAAACAATTCAAAATATCAAAGAACAAAAGGTATAAGTGTATAATAATGATTCTAACATAACACTAAGCCAAACATTTGAGTTATTTTAATACTTCAACAAACTAAATGGAAATGAAATAATATATATTATTTCATTTCCATTTAGTTTGTTGAAGTATTAAAATAACTCAAATTAAATAAAACAAAAACTTAATAAAAGACCTATACATACATAATAAATTCAGACATGATGTAACTAAAATTAAAATAAATAACAAATACAAATAATACAAATCAAACGACTGTAGTTTATCAGTAATCCTAAAAAATAACACTGAGCCAAACTTACATGCTAAAAAACAACAACAACTTACTGACACATAGTAAGAAATGGTTATAAAAACTGAAACAGAAGTGAAACAAGTAGTAGGCTACATAAGCACAAAAAAGACTCTGCACCCCGCGACTGCCCATATTTATAAGCTCCTTTATTTAAAAAAGACCACTTTATTATGAAAAGTGGACATGTCAACACTGTACACCGAGAACCAGACATGCGCTCCGCACGCGATGTCCTCTCCCAGTGCGCATGCGCAGTATCACTATACCGGCGGAGGCTGAACGGTAGCAGCTTAAACGACGCAGGGATCAACGAGACCGTTTTGACAAGTTAGTGCGCCAGTGTGGATTATTTGTGTTTGAATGCTTTTATACAATCTATATGATGTTAGATTCAAAAGATAAAAATGTTAAAACATAATTATAAGCCAGCAGTCGGACAACCTTGTTGGGTGGGTTAGCAGGGGAGCTAACAGAGGCTGCTGCGCAGATCTGGGAGGGGGAGGCGAGTCTGGCGTTAAGACGATATTACCAACAAACCTGCTCTTCAGTCGATGATCACTGCCATGTGAGGAGCTAAAATGACATTTTATTGACTTGAATCGATCGTCTCCGGTTCTTAGGCGCTATGTACGGTTGGATTGGTGTGTTTAGCGCGGTGTTTTTTGGTGGAGATGGTTGGATGGGTCTCTCTCTCCCCTTCACTGCGGGCTGAAGCGCCACTGCCCATGAGAAGCGGGTTAGAGACACACTGACAGATCCAGTCTGGCTCTGTTTCTTACTAATATCTTTATATTCTTTTGCCATTTAAGGGAAAATACCACAGGTGAATAGAGTAAAAATTGTAGCTAATAGATGTCACCGTACTTCCCCAGTTGGTTAATCACAGTACATTAAAACAATGATTTTGTATTTTTGAAATATTATGCTCGAACTATTATGCTAAGTGACAGACGAGGTCGTTTGAGTAGGATACAGCTCAGACTGCATTAGTATTTTTTTTGCTTCTGTCAGATTAGTTTAGTCTCAAATGACGGATGTGCATGCTTATTTGGCATTATGATTGGTGTATGTGGCCACTGCTGATGGAAACATGATATTAAGTGATCGTTCAAAGCCTGTCATCTAGCTGAGATCAAGCAACTATTTTAATGAGTCTTAGTGACTCCTCTTTTGCTCATCTTGCTTTGATCATGTCTTTCCAGCAGGCAACATCATGAGTCAGGGGAAGGACAATGCACGTCTCAAAAGCTATAAAAACAAATCGCTCAACACAGATGAGATGAGGAGGAGGAGGGAGGAAGAAGGCCTGCAACTTCGCAAACAAAAGAAAGATGAACAAGTAAGAGAGCTGGAGTGGCTTTGTGGATCTTTGCTTTGTATCTTGTTATTGTACTATAGGTAGTGTTTTGTTTTATTAATTTTTTTTAAAGATAAGTGTATATATATCTGTAGCATCATTACTCCATGTATTTTCTGTCACATTTTATCAATTTGAAAAATATTACTAACCCCAAACATTTGAACAGTAATATATGTATATTTATCTGTTTGTTGTTTATTCATATTTGTTTATATATTTCTTTTCATTTGGTGAAAATGTGAACTACTCTGACAGTAGAAAAATCATCATTACTGAGACCTGCCTTTATAGCAGTGCAGGTTTTAGTTAATAAATATGTTTTATTGTTTCTACAATGTTACTGTATAAGTAGGGATATAACGATTCACTCAACTCACGATTCGATTCACAACTTTTTATTTATTTATTTATTTTTTACAAAATGTGATTGAAGACAAGTTATAAATTAAATGTGTCCTTTTATTATTGCTTGGACAAAATGCTGCACATTTCTTTGTGAAATTGAAATATAACACTATAATAATATACTAATATAGTACTTGCATATTATTGCTCTTTTGTTGGTTTTGATTGCTTCTATTGTCCTCATTTGTAAGTCGCTTTGGACAAAAGCATCTGCTAAATGACAACATTTAAATATAATGTAAATGTAAATAACAAAATTAAATTGAAATTTTAAAACAAGTACCCAAATAAATAAGTAACACAAAATAAAATAAAACTCTTCATATAAACAAACTAAGGCTTTGTCTGTGCTCTTCCCATTTAAAATGAGAGGCAACCACTGCATGTTAATTATGATCCAAACAAAGATGCTGCATACATGCAACATGAGCAGTTTTTAATCTAAATTACATTGTATAATTTCGAAATTTGAAACAAAAACAGAATGGTTTGACTTCAGTTTTGTGAAACTATACATAAAAATATCTGCATGAAACCGAAACAGCAGACGAGCTGAATGAGACGCAGATTCACTCTCTGCCAGCAGGTGGCGCTTAAAGAGTTTCCTTGGTTTCTGCTGTAAACAAAGCAGCCCTGCACTTATGAACTTTAATATGCATTATACAGAGGCAAGAGGAAAAGAAAAAATACCATCTAAACTTTTCTAAAGACCGTAAGTTCCCCTCAGACATGCAAATGAATCGCGATTTGTTTAGCATCTCAACCGATTTGAATAATCGCATATCTTCAACCGGCTCGCGGTTAATCGTTACATCCCTTTTCAGACTGGCCAAAATGCTCAAACAAATACAGAATAATGCCTTATTAAAAGCTGCACAATATTTACAGCCTTTGAAATAATCAGCCTGCAAATACCTTACTTCTAGTTGATTCTACAGGAGAAAATATTTTAACAGTAATAAATAAATGACTCGCTTGCTCCTTCCAAGGAAAGAAATGCAACATTAGGACTGTTATGTGGCACATGTTGGTATTTTTATTGAGCACAGTTTATGTGTTCTTACAGCTGTTCAAGCGCAGAAATGTGGCCACAGCGGAGGAGGATGGAACAGTGGAGGATGATGGGATGTTGGACGGTGGAAACCTGGAATCACTGGCCAACAATATGGACCAAATCACGGTGAGAGAGAAAAAACAATAGTTAATCACAGTCTTTTACTTATTGATGAAAAAATTGATTATGACTTTTTCTGTCTTTCCATCATTACAGGGAAGTGTTATTTCTGAGGACATGATACAGATGATCTTCTCCAGCTCCCCAGAACAACAGCTCATCGGAACACAGCGCTTCAGAAAGCTCTTATCTAAAGGTAAAAGACCCCGAAGACTGAAATTCATGGCATTTGCATAATCATATTTATGATAAAAGGATGCTAATTCCATCTTTAACCCTCCATTAGAGCCTAATCCCCCTATTGATGAGGTCATTGCCACCCCTGGTGTCGTGGAGCGATTTGTTGAGTTCCTGAAAAGAAGAGAGAACTGTACGCTACAGGTGAGTCTAGTAAGCTGTATCTAAGTGATATCAAAACGAACTATACAGCCTAGAAGCAGAGGAACAGCCTGCAGACGTAGCCCCTAAGTCACAGCAGCGAGACAGTGAGTCATCTGGCACGAATCTCTCCCAGCACATGCTCACACTATTTGAATGTGTATGTTCTGCAAGTCTCTCTTGCTATCTTTATCCCCTTGGCTCTGGAATGGTGCACTAATGAATGCTTTTCTGCAGTATGGTGACAGATGTCCTGTTTCTGTGCAGTTTGAAGCAGCGTGGGTTTTGACTAACATCGCCTCAGGAACATCCCACCAGACACGGGTGGTCATCCAGGCTGGGGCGGTACCCATTTTCATTGAGATGCTCAGCTCGGATTTCGAGGATGTACAGGAACAGGTAAACATCTCGCTGAAGGGGCACAAATGGACCCAGTTAGGTATTAAAAAAAATAGGTCTAACTTTGTGATTGAAACTGTCTTTTTCCACTGCAGGCAGTGTGGGCTTTAGGCAATATTGCAGGTGACAGCACCGAGTGCAGGGACTATGTTCTGGACTGCAATATTCTACCCTCTCTAGTACAGTAAGTCATGCAACCATTTGTTTTAGAACAACCTTACTGTTGAATAGTTCTAATGATACAGATTCTCATGCCAGGTTATTGGCTAAACAAAATCGTCTGACTATGATGAGGAACGCAGTTTGGGCTCTGTCTAACCTGTGCAGAGGGAAAAACCCACCCCCAGATTTTGCCAAGGTAAAAGTCACCTCCTGTTTCCTTGCAGTTCTGTGCAAATTTTTGTTTACTGGTTTTTACAATACACATTGTTCCATAGTACCTATACAGAAATGGAAGAGTAGGGATGCACATTATATCTGTACAATATCCGTTAAAGCCTGTTTTTAAAAATTACTTTATATATATATATATTACCATAACTATTAGGTATTTAATTATAACTAATTTACCCCCTTTTTTACATTTAGATTACCCTTACCATCATCTAACGCTAATTTTAAACACTATTAATGTACGCTGTTGAATATAATTTTTAATGAATATCCATTTTTCATGTTGTACATTATAATGCTGTGAAGCTCAGATTCACTTGTAGCAATTCAAACAGATTGACCTTAGTTAAAAAAAATGTTTTAATACAAAGTAGTTGAGAATTTTAATATCTTAGACCTTAAAATTGAGATTTTATCTTCTTATTGATATCGGACTTGCAACATGACATAATAATGCAAAAAAACAAAACCCGATAATAATGCCTTATAACCTACTGTTCAAAAGTTTAAAGTCATTAAGAATTATTTTTAATTAATAATTTTATTCAGCAGATTCTTTTATTCAAAGTGACATAAGTGTGTTTTGTACAATAACAGCTAATAGTCATAAGGATTCAGCCACTCTAACTGTAATTTCCACAAATATATTAAGCAGCACAACTGTTTTCAACATTGATAATAATAAGAAATGTTTTTTGAACACCAAGATTACATAAAAAAATATATTACAATGGAAAACATTTTAAATTATACAAATATTTCACAATATATAATGTTTTAACTTTTTTTTTTAATCAAATAAATGCAGCCGTGGTGAACACGAGACTTCTTCCTGTGTATTTGTGTAGTGACAGCGGTTGATGCTCTAGTTGGAAATCTAAACTTTGCAGGAAGGGGCAACCCACAAACAACAGTTTCACTATTGTAGCTTGGGACACTTGACTAAAGCACATCAATTATTAGCAGCCAGAGGCCTGTCTTTACAGTTAGAGTGGCTGAATGCTTATGACTATTAGCTGTTATTGTACAAAACACACTTATGTCACTGAATAAAAGAATCTGCTGAATTAGTGTATGTAAATGAGAGCTTGATAGATGAAAAGTGTCTGCTAAATGACAAGCAAGCACATAAACAGCCACAGTCATACTTCAGTTCACAAGCCACGAACCTCAATGGTATTGCCGTGAGTACACATCATCATGGTCATGTTTGCTCAAGCTAGAACATGTATTAATAATTATGCTTAATTATTTGTTAATGTTGATTTATAATTTAATGAAAATGTGAATTCGTTTTTGTTTATACTACAATGACATGGATTAATTAACATTTTTTATTAAACCAACATATATCAACATGAACTTGATAATGAAGTAATTTAATTCAACCTAATTAAGTCACAAGAGTATACACGCTTTTAAACTTAAAGTGAGATTCAAGTTGTATTTGTCTTTTAATGCAGGTGTCGCCATGTCTCAGCGTTCTGTCCTGGCTGCTCTTTGTGAATGATACCGACATTTTGGCTGATGCATGCTGGGCTCTTTCTTATCTGTCTGATGGTCCCAATGAGAAGATCCAGGCTGTTATTGACTCAGGAGTCTGCCGCAGACTAGTGGAGCTGCTGCTGTAAGACATGAAAAACAAATGGAAAGAATAATGAATAGCTTAAGCCAGAGATTCTCAACTATTATGACTCTGAGGCCCCAATTATTGATGACAACATTTGAAGCCCCCATGACTCTTCCAGTTGTTTGTGATTTGCTGGATACCAAAAGTATTTTAGAGCTTGGCATAACTATAAAAATGTATATTCAAATATCGACTGAGTTTTAAGATTTCATACATTTATATGACCTTTCAAGTCTAGAATTCATACAATTTTTAAAATTAGGCTACTTCATATATCCATGTTTTCCAAGAATGTAGAAACCCTGGTTCCATAAAGAAAACAATTAGTTGAATTAAAATAAGAAATATCTTGTTTTTTAGTTGTTTTAGCTGATTTTAATGATGTTTTGTTTTATTTTCATGAGATTTAAACCATTTTGAGACCCTCCTGGAGGTTTGCTGAGGCCCCCTAGTGGGCCCAAGCCTCTCCAGGTTGAGAACCACTAGCTTAGGCTTTCAAGATGGCTTCTCTCTGTTGTATTTTTATGGGCACTACTTCAAATCCTTAGAGTAAGAGCAGTTTTCTGAGGTGATGTTTCCATGTGTTCCAGACATGCAGAATATAAGGTGGTGTCTCCTGCTCTAAGAGCCGTGGGGAACATAGTCACAGGAGATGACCTACAGACTCAGGTGAAACAACTATTTTCTTTCCTCCTCTGCAGGAATGTTGTAGCTATTACATATTTTGGGCGTAACATCATTTGTTTTCTCATGAACAGGTGATTCTTAACTGCTCTGCCCTGCAAAGTCTTCTTCACCTGCTGAGTAGCCCGAAAGAGTCCATTAAAAAAGAGGCATGTTGGGCCATCTCTAATATCACAGCCGGGAACCGTGCACAAATACAGGTACATGCATGTTTACACAGTTAACACAGTTTGCGTTTTCACACCTGGCTCATTTGGAGCATGTTTTCTTCCTCCGTTTGGTTAATTTTGGCATATATATAAACATGGCAATCAAGCTCAGATCCGAACGAAAACAATGGGTCTGAGAGCACCTGAACAAGGTGGTCACTGCCCGATTAAAAACGAATTCTGGAGCGGTTTGCTTGTGGTGAGAAAGCAATGCAACCAAACTTGCATAAAGACATTTTTGGTACACTTTGAAATGTTGCCTTGTGAAAGCGAACGGAACAAAGAAGAAAATGCAACATTGTAACATTTTACGTCCTTGTTTCGGAACAAATCAAATAATCTGCAGGTCTGAAAATGTCATGAGTGTCTGTTTTTTTATCTCACAATCTTTGTTTTGATCTTTGTAGATGGTGATGGATGCAGACTTGCTGCCCCCGTTGATAAATATTCTGCAAGTAGCCGAATTCCGTACAAGAAAGGAGGCGGCGTGGGCCATCACAAACGCCACATCTGGCGGTTCTTCTGAGCAGATCAGGTGAGACAAATCACTGCTTTAACATGCCTCTCCTGTGACAATTTGTGATCAGATCACTTCCTGCCTCAGCAACCAAGACGACTTTATATTTCAGTGCTTTAATCTTCTCCTCAGGCATCTTGTTGAGCTTGGTTGCATCAAGCCCTTATGCGACCTCCTGACGCTGATGGATTCAAAGATCGTACAGGTGGCACTGAATGGCTTGGAGAACATCCTAAGACTGGGTGAGCTGGAAGCTAAACGAGGAGGAGGAATCAACCCCTACTGCGCCCTCATTGAGGAGGCATATGGTATGTTAAGCCATCACACTTGCTAATTCCAGGGATGTGATTTTTCCATATTTATACAATTTCCATATTTTCTGACCTGAGAAGTATGACCCGCCCAATTGCGTAAATTCATGGAAAACAAATGGTCTCTGAGCGGCTTGGTTCACAGTAAATGCTGCTCCAAACAAACACCATCTCTGAAAGAATGCAATGAGAATAATCTATGAATCTGTTTTCAACAAAAGAAAACTGAAGTACAATTTGGGCTTAAAGCTTCTGACACAAAAGCTAGCGTTTTTTATAGTGTACATTTGATAGCGTGCACAAACACATGGGCTCTAGAAGGTTTCATTCTTGACCAGTATCTGTGCTAGTTTGCCAGAAGTCATCAAAAAAAGCACTGGTCTATGCAGGCCTTCTGTTTTAGTTGTGTCTTATCCGGGGTTTTTTGACTGAAACAACAACTTGGGCCAGTGATACCACCTAGTGGACAAACAAATTAGTGCAAAAAAAAAATAATCAACTCTGAGCTTACAGTACAGAGTACATGCAGTAAAAAAAAATATCTGGCTATAAGGTCTTCCTGCAATCTTCTGCCAAAAAAGCTTTGTTTTAATATTTGAAAGCAGAGGAATTTAGACAGATATGAATATTAGTATTCTAATTCTACTGTTTTTCTGTAAAATAAAAAATAAAATTAATTATATATATATATATATATTATTTTTTTTACAGTACTGTGGTATTATTGCAATTATAATACATTTCTTTATCTGTTTGATTTTTATAATTTAAATAATAATAATATTTTGAATAACATTTATAACTTAATTAGTAACTTATGTAATTATTGTTGTTGTAATGTCATATTGAATGGGGTTTTTCTGTCTTTATTTGTCCTTAGCTGATCATATGCCTGTGATTAGTTCTCTGGGGTTTTCAGACCCTTCATTTCATCCCAACCTTTCAACACTAAATCCTTCTAATGTGAAGCATTGTTATTCTTGCCAACGTCATTAATTTTAGGAGATCAGATTTTCACCAGGAGACAACATGTTTGTTTTTAATTTTCATGTTCATGTTAATAAATAAAATGCTTGATTACATTTTGAACTTTCTTGTCGACTAAAATGTTACCCTCAACAACTAAAAAAGTTGTAAGTAAAACTGACCAAAATTAATGAATATGGCAACATAAAATATTGAGAAAAAATAAAAACTTTTCTGTTGCTTTCCACCAGGATTGGACAAACTGGAGTTTCTACAGGGCCATGAGAACCAGGAGATCTACCAGAAGGCTTTTGACCTGATCGAGCGCTACTTCAGCACAGAGGATGAAGATCCGGCCCTGGCACCTGCCGTTGACCTCCAGCAGCAGCAGTTCCTTTTCCAGCAGTGTGAGGCTCCCATGGAGGGTTTCCAACTTTAACCCTTCCCTTCACCCCCATCTTCTCCAAGCAATCCACCCTGGAGGGTGAGCGACACCCCCACTGACCGAACAGAGCGAAGGATTTAACAAATGAACATTTCAATTAAGGTGTGATATACAAGAGCGTGTGTTGCCGGTCAACCCATTTCCCCCCTCTTGTCCTACTTCCCTGGCCCGGTCCAGAACGATGGATCCAGAACGATAGCGACTTCCTCTCCTGATGCAGAAAACGTGACCAGTAGATCTTTTGACATGACATAAATATCCCACTTCCTTCATTAAACTCATTCAGCCCTTCAAAGCACACATATCCCATCAGTCCCTCAGCCCGATTCAGGAAAACTGCATCCAGCGATGACTTAATAGAGGCTGGAAAAGCACAGCTCGTGTGACGTGACTGCAATATTGACTCTGACAAGGGATCTGCTCTCCATCTGTTGTAAAACACTGGACTGACCGTGTAACTGTGTTTGCATGTCTCTAAAATCCCCCCACCCAAAAAAAGTCGCAGCCAATGTGCGCCGAAAACCTCAAAACGGATGTCTGCTAAATGCAAGGCACTTTTACCTTCTCATTTGACCCAGACAACTCAGAGACGTACTGAGGGGTCCGAGTTTTCCGACTGATAATGCCAGTCAGATGGTCCCTTACTTTGACTTGCGTTAAACATGCATTCCGACAGTGACTGAACTGTATAGGCTCCGCCTCTCCTTTTAGGTTACACATTTGCACCTTTGGAATTCTGGGAGTTGGAGTCTTCCCGCTCACTGAGACTGCTGGACAGACAAAAAGACAGGTCCTGTATCCTGTGCATTAGACCATTTGATACTTCAAGAAGACAATTTCACATGAGCATCATCTTCATTGGCACTTTACGTTCAGAACAGACACCCTTTGTTTAGATTCGAACCTCTGTAGTCTGTTTTAGGCCCCCGAAAAGCTTCTCAGGATATTGAGGTGAAGAGGAATGGCGTGTACCTGCATTACGGGATGTACTTAAAGAAAACACTAAGTATTTAAGAGAGCTGCCTCATCCTGGCTGAAAAAAACTCCAACCCTTTCAAAGCTTCCAACATATTTTAACAAGCTGTTGAAAATTGAGCTGAAAAGGCTTTAGCTTCCTGACGTGTGTGTGTGAGACAAACTTAAATATTAATGTCTAATCATGCTGAATGCGCGCACACATTCAGACACACCATATTTTCCAAGTGACTAGATCTGAATATGGAAAAATACAGAGCAGAAAGTCGTTCAGTTCTGTTTTGTTGTTCGGTTTTATTTTATTGTATTTTTGCGAGGGTTAGAATCTCTTAATACCGAAGGTGCCATAATCCTCATTTTAAAAAAAGGAGGTGGAAAATGACAAACAAATGGAATTTATCAACAAATTTAAACTTACGATTTACTGGGTATTAGCTCAAGATATGATTGTTTACTTAGGTTTTCTTATTTCAATGTCAGATTCTTCCCAAGATATGACCAGCTCGTTGTGTTCAATACTGCTGTCGTATTGAGATTGTGTAACTGTTCTCTGTTACGCCATTTGCATAAATGCTGTTTCATGAAGCTCGGTGGTCAAGTGATTTAATTTGAGATCTGTAAGAGACTCATTCATCATTGCTTCATTCATAAAAGGGCCAGTCATTATGCGTTTACTCAACCTTTTTGAACATGCACTCATTAAGATTGTAATCAATTTTCCTATGCAATTTAGTGCTAATAGCTATGCTATTTTACTTCTGGTTGGTCATTTTAATCAAACACAGACAATAAACATCAGCTTTAGGAGAACCTTAAAGAAATAATTAACTCAAAAATGAAAATTAGCAGAAAACCTAATCACCCTCAGGTCATCCAAGATATAGATGAGTTTGTTCATCAGAATAGATTTTGAGAAATTTAGCATTACATCACTTGCTCACCAGTGGATCCTCTGCAGTGAATGGGTGCCGCCAGAATGAGAGTCCAATCAACTGATAAAAATATCATAATCCACACAACTCTCTCCTCTCTCCATCAGCTGATATCTTGTGAAGTGAAAAGCTGCACATTTTTAAGAAATGAATCCATTATTATAACTTTAAACCATTTTTTTCTGGCCAATATACAAGTCCATGATCCACAGTAACTTCCTCCATTGAAAAAGTCCATCCCTGTTGTCCTCTCACATCAGAATCTACTGAACTGTTTTTGCTTGGAAACTGTGTTTGATCTGTGCATATTTCCCTCCTGATTCAGACGAGATTACTTTTACAGCGGAAAAAGCAATATTACGAATAGACGGCTTTTAGGAATTTAAAAACATCTTAATGATGGATTTGTTTCTTACAAACAGAGCTTTTCACTTCCCAAGATGTCATCTGATGGACTGGAGTCATGGGAATTACTTATGGATTATTGTGACGTTTTTATCAACTGTTTGGACTTTAATTCTGACGGCACCCATTCACTGCAGAGGATCCAAGTGATGTAATACTAAATTTCTCCAAATCTGTTCTGAAGAAGACAAACTCATCTACATCTTGAATGGCCTGAGAGAGTGTCAATTTTAAGCAAATTTAAATTTTTGGATGAACTATTCCTGTAATGTAGGAATGCGTCAATATTTAAAATTCTGATATGATAACATTTACATTTATGCATTTAGCAGATGCTTTTATCCAAGCCGATAATTATTTTCATGTTATGGCTGATACAATTCTATATACCATTTTGACTAAATAAATACTGTTTTGAAATAAGTAGATTAAAATAGAACAGAATCAGTAGTATTGAATACTACAATTTAAATTGGGCATCACAAAATCAATGTAGAGCTCATATAGTTTTAACATTATTAAATATAAGCAACAAAACAAAGAAGTTAACAATAAGACTAAAAATAATAGTAAGTAAAAGAAATATCAGTGGAACACTTTTTTTTTCTTCATATGTGTATATATACAAAAAAAATCACAAATCTTTATATACTATAAAAATCTGTGTACTATGTGAAGGAAGTCCACCGGAGTTCCCATGGTGTGTGGCATTTGACATGAAATGTTCCCAGGTGACACTGAGACATGGGCCTTGGCAGCTCTGATGGATGCATCTCACTGGGCTTTCTCAAGTGCAGTGGCCACCTCCTTTTCTTTCTGTGCCTCCTCTCTCCATCGAGCCTTCTTCTCCATGTTACGAGAGGTCAGATTTTCATTCCGACTCGCCGCCTGTCATTGAAGGTATTGGTTAAAGGATATGACAGCCATGTATTACACAAGCTAAGACAGCTTTTCATTTATACAGCAGCACACTTTTTATTACCTGTTTGCCAGACACAGCCGTGGCGAGGCACGCCAGGATGGTCAGTGCCATCATGACATAGCAGGCCTTCACACGCACTCTGTTCCTGGCAGCATCAATCATCTCAAATCTGAAAACAGCGCAGTATTTTCATAAGTATAGAAAACACTATTTCATAAAATAGTACATCCATGAAGATATGGCAGGGTATCGACCCATATTTTCTAATTCGATTTCAGTGCTAATAGTAATTCAAACAGGTACATCATCTTTTTGAATTAATCGTTAAAAGAACTAGCTCATTAGAGTCATTTCTTCTTGAATCGGGCTTCTTCTTGAATTCACTGGTAGCGCTGTGTGCTTTTGATTCACTAAAAAGATCCCGTTCATAAGAGTCATTTGCTTTTGAATTAAGCGTCACTGGCTGCGTGCAGCTGTGCATGTTGTTTTTGCGAAAATATTGCAACTCAATGAAAAGATGCTTCTTAACGATATTTCGAGGTACAAGTTAACATTATTAAATATAAGCAACAAAACAAAGAAGTTAACAATAAGACTAAAAATAATAGTAAGTAAAAGAAATATCAGTGGAACACTTTTTTTTTCTTCATATGTGTATATATACAAAAAAAATCACAAATCTTTATATACTATAAAAATCTGTGTACTATGTGAAGGAAGTCCACCGGAGTTCCCATGGTGTGTGGCATTTGACATGAAATGTTCCCAGGTGACCCTGAGACATGGGCCTTGGCAGCTCTGATGGATGCATCTCACTGGGCTTTCTCAAGTGCAGTGGCCACCTCCTTTTCTTTCTGTGCCTCCTCTCTCCATCGAGCCTTCTTCTCCATGTTACGAGAGGTCAGATTTTCATTCCGACTCGCCGCCTGTCATTGAAGGTATTGGTTAAAGGATATGACAGCCATGTATTACACAAGCTAAGACAGCTTTTCATTTATACAGCAGCACACTTTTTATTACCTGTTTGCCAGACACAGCCGTGGCGAGGCACGCCAGGATGGTCAGTGCCATCATGACATAGCAGGCCTTCACACGCACTCTGTTCCTGGCAGCATCAATCATCTCAAATCTGAAAACAGCGCAGTATTTTCATAAGTATAGAAAACACTATTTCATAAAATAGTACATCCATGAAGATATGGCAGGGTATCGACCCATATTTTCTAATTCGATTTCAGTGCTAATAGTAATTCAAACAGGTACATCATCTTTTTGAATTAATCGTTAAAAGAACTAGCTCATTAGAGTCATTTCTTCTTGAATCGGGCTTCTTCTTGAATTCACTGGTAGCGCTGTGTGCTTTTGATTCACTAAAAAGATCCCGTTCATAAGAGTCATTTGCTTTTGAATTAAGCGTCACTGGCTGCGTGCAGCTGTGCATGTTGTTTTTGCGAAAATATTGCAACTCAATGAAAAGATGCTTCTTAACGATATTTCGAGGTACAAGTTTTTTTTTTTTTTTTTGAGGAAATGACATTGCATTTAAACTTTTGATTTATCATTTTAGCAGCTGTTTAATAATCATTTAATTTAATTCATTTGAACATTTTATTTTTGTTAAAATTAATCAAATCCATGCAACAACTTTACGCACTCTTATGAATCCAATCGTGCCAGTCTCGAAAAGTGAAACTACGTCACAATTTATTTGCTAGTTTTATGCCGATAAGTGTTTGAAGAATGCCCACTGTGCCCAGTGCCAAAGCTCATCATATGCTCCCTGTCTGCGTCCAAAAAAAATCATACAGAAAACACTGACCTATTAAAGTGCCAAAGGCAGCGCGAGGCCCTCTGATCATGTTGAAGATCATGACTTCTGAAGAAAAATATGATGAAAGAAAAAGACAATTTTAAGCCATGAAATGGTGTCCAATTAGCAATGCCAGGCTCAGTTCCTCTAACTACGTAAAGTCAGCAGCTCGAGTTCATTTGCGAGCGCAGAGCTGCTGAGACACTGAAGGACCCCGAGCAGCCGCCTGTTAAGGACATACTTATGTAAAGTCAGCGTAACACGCATGCAGTTGTAAATGGTATAGCTAAAAGTAAAGTTAAATAAAAAAATAATTTTTGCATTCCTGTAAAACATTTCGCATAAATCACTTATTGGATTTTACACGCCCACGTTTATCCTGATCCTTTTTATCGTGAGAAATAATTCTGTCTCTGTTAGGTTGGATCACGATAGTATAAGCATGCGGTAATACTCAATAATGACATGTAACGTTGTTTAATAAATGTTAAGTACAACAGTTTTGTAGCAAATGTAATCCAGGCAGTATTTGGACACCCTCAGCGCGCAGGACCTCTTCAGTCCACTATGGCGGCGCCCGGTGGAGTTCTGAACTGTGAGGACTTTTCAATGTTTCAGGTAAAACGTGCGAAGTTGTCAGCGGTCAGGATAAAATTATGCAGGATTTATAAACGCACACTGAATTTTTTGGGAACAGGTGGTTGTGATGTTAATGCGAATGACTGACCCTCGTGGACTGTTACATGCAGTAGTGAGATTCAATGAGCAGCAGAACAAACATGAGCGATTAAGCAACTGTGCTGTTCTTTATAAATATAAAGGCGTGCATTATATGAGCTATCATTTATACACAATACAAAATACAGAAGTAATTTTTTTATTAAAGCCATTAAGTACATATTGTGTAACATGTGGGTTGTTGACAAAATGGATTCATGAATTTTTTTCAGCACCAGGATTTTCAGTTAAAGGTGCCAAAGAATGGAAAACTGTATTTACCTTGGCATAGTTGAATAATAACAGTTCTGTACATGGAAGTGACATACAGTGAGCCTCAAACACCATTGTTTCCTCCTTCTTATGTAAATCTCCTGCATGCAAAAAACCACTGAAAAATAGGTGAATCAGAACATAACACCTACTGTGACGTTACAGTCGGTGTTACTTATAGTTATGCCCCCAACATTTGCATATACCTGCCCATGTTCTATGCCAGCCACCAGCCGAACCTGCACAGCCGAATCATCAGAAGTTCTGCAGGTATTGTGAAGAAGCAAGCAAGGTTAATAACGAAAATGGCAGATCATGGAAATAAATGTTATGTTCCAGGCCGTGCAGGGGACGTGATGTGCAGGGATGGGTTGGTGTCTGTATTCAG